ATCTTCATTACAAATCTATTTCTACGTCGTTATCTTCATTACAAATCAATTTCTACGTCGTTATCATCATTACAAATCAATTTCTACGTCGTTATCTTCATTACAAATCAATTTCTACGTCGTTATCATCATTACAAATCAATTTCTACGTCGTTATCATCATTACAAATCAATTTCTACGTCGTTATCTTCATTACAAATCTATTTCTACGTCGTTATCTTCATTACAAATCAATTTCCACGTCGTTAACATTACAAATCAATTTCTACGTCGTTATCTTCATTACAAATCAATTTCGTCGTCGTTATCATCATTACAAATCAATTTTTACGTCGTTATCTTCATTACAAATCAATTTCTACGTCGATATCACAAATCAATTTCTACGTCGATATCTTCATAACAAATCAATTTCTACGTCGATATCTTCATAACAAATCAATTTCTACGTCGTTATCTTCATTACAAATCAATTTCTACGTCGTTATCTTCATTACAAATCTATTTCTACGTCGTTATCATCATTACAAATCAATTTCTACGTCGTTATCATCATTACAAATCAATTTCTACGTCGTTATCTTCATTACAAATCAATTTCTACGTCGTTATCATCATTACAAATCAATTTCTACGTCGTTATCTTCATTACAAATCTATTTCTACGTCGTTATCTTCATTACAAATCAATTTTATCGTTATCATCATTACAAATCAATTTCTACGTCGTTATCATCATTACAAATCAATTTCTACGTCGTTACGTCGTTATCATCATTACAAATCAATTTCTACGTCGTTATCTTCATTACAAATCAATTTCTACGTCGTTATCATCATTACAAATCTATTTCTACGTCGTTATCTTCATTACAAATCAATTTCTACGTCGTTATCTTCATTACAAATCAATTTCTACGTCGTTATCCTTCAATGCAGTTATCGTTAAGAATTGATTTCTACGTAATCAAAATATCATTTATTTTTTAGAAAGGGTCATGTTGAACAAGACATTAGTACATGGTGTTCATGCTGGTGTATGATGTAAAAGAGATCAGACACTTTGTCTTCAACTGTTTGTTTTTCACCATCTGGATCACAACTATATACTAATCCAATAACGATAGTATTTTCCGTTCCTTATGGGTTGGGCCTGACATAAACTAGAATTAGTCAGTAAGTTTTCAGGTATATTTGAGAATGTATTTGTCTGTAAGACTTGTTGTGTTTACATTGATCTTGTAACAATGGGAATTTTAGTACAAGGCTTAGTCAGATATCAACATTTTTAACTTCCATCTCTAAAACGTTTTACCATATGACAATGATTAATAGTTTTGGTATTCCTGAACGCCGTGTTGGATAATTATGGGGGTTCATGCTTGAATATTTCATCCCAACTTCCTCTTCTTTCTTGTACATGTCGAGTTAAATATTTAAAATGATGCTTATATTTTTAACACAATAGTGTTATGTCTATTTTAATTATTCTTACAGTTTGGCAGATTTTCATTCCGTTAAATGAAATAAGAACGACAAATGTGACGGCCAATCCGAAAGTCGTATGAGTACAATGACGAAGAAAATTAAATTGTCTGCGTAAATAACATTATATCTACACTCCAGACACCTGAACCAGTTGTGTCTTCCTGCTCCGTCGGTGTCAAAATTGGATTCTCCAGACGAGGAAGACAATAACTGTGTAATGTGACATGTATTTCTTCCTTCAGTGGTATCGTTCATTTCAACGTATTTCCCTTTCAGGTATAAATTAAGAAGATAAATTGAAATAACAGGAAATATATCCTATGGCTGAAAAAATCCCTTCTGTGTCTTCAAATTATGGTATCGAGAGGCGACTAATGTGTAAATCCCTGCAAATTTTAATTCCTCACACCCGTCACAGCACCAGAGATTTTTAACTTTTGCTTTCTGTTCAATGGTAAATGGGTTATCATAATGCTGTTAAATTAAATATTTGGCTCAACTATATACAATCATATGCTGTATCAGTTTTCACATATTCTGGAGATATTGCTGTTCGTGTGTTTTGAGAATGTATTGAGTTACATTATGTTTTTATAGATAAAACTCGCTATTTTTCATTTTTTCATTTCCTCTTCATCCTCCTTTTTCCTCTTTTTTTTATTTACATTTGTTTCTGTTTATCATATCACTATGGATAACATTCGAGATGAAAAAATTATAAAATCTAGATTCACTGCTGTAGTTGTCGTATATTGGACGATTGATAAATGAGAACCCCCAACCTGAAATGTGTTACCTTTGACCCCTCCCAATTTTACACATTTTGTGGTGTCCGTTGCCATCACTCTAGGTTGACCTTTGTCCCAGAAACGTAAGTGTGCCACAAAATTAATGAGACTTTCACAAGTGTATCGCCTCTCCTACCATTTTTCTCGCTCATTTTGACTAGTTTGGCGTTTATGGTGATATAAATGACAGAAAAAAATGTCTCATTTTTCCAACCTTAAATCTAAACATGTAATTTTGTAGAATTTTCACAGGAATAATTGATGAATTTTGTAAACATTTATCAAATATGTATGTTTTAATAACGTTTATTATTTTGCCGAAAATTCGCAACATAAAAACAATTCATCTAGAAACATATTTTAGTTTTATCTATTAAACGGGAGCTTTCTGTTGAATTTGCACGCGCTAATAATTAACACAACAGCAATATAAACAACCCAACTTCTCAAAGTTGTATCAACAACAACAACAACAATGATAAACAACAAAGTCAACGACGACAACGAGAACGACGACAACAACAGCAACAACAAAGTCAACAACGACAACGAGAACGACGACAACAACAGCAACAACAAAGTCAACAACGACAACGAGAACGACGACAACAACAGCAACAACGAGAACGACGACAATAACAGCAACAACAAAGTCAACAACGAGAACGACGACAACAACAGCAACAACAAAGTCAACAACGACAACGAGAACGACGTCAACAACAGCAACAACAATGTCAACAACGACAACGAGAACAACGACAACAACAGCAACAACAAAGTCAACAACGACGACCAGAACAACAGTGCAGACCATTACAGCAACGACAACATCAGCAACAATAACAAAATCAACGACGACGGCGGGAACGACAACAATGACATCAACAACAACATCGACAACGACAAAACAACCACACTGGCAACAATAACCATGACATATATAAAAACTATACAACAAGTTGTGTCAACTTACAATAATCACTCTGGTTGACTCATATGTAAGATCATGGAAGGTTTTACTGTTCCGAAGCTGTGTATGAATTTTAAATTGAACATATATATGTTTTGATCAAAGACAAGGCTGCATATGGTTGGTACCAAGTTGAAAGTAATTCTTTATCATTTGTGGCACAGCAAGAAATTTTCTTTCTGGAAATCAGCCTTCTCACCCTTATCGCAATTTCTCTGAAGCTTTGCAATTAATTAAGTTATATTAATCAACATTAATCAAAGACGAATATATCGATGAAACTCAGTGACTTATGACTTATCCGAGCCGAGATGCTGTTCATTCGTTCATTAACACATTCATAGGATGAGAAAATTTCACAGCTGTCACCAATGTATTGTATGTATAAAACATATGATGAATCTGTCATTGTTTACAAGAAATATTCAATGCTGCGTTACTTATTTTTATTTATTGTCCATTAAGTAAGATAATCGATCAAATTTTTATTTCAACTTATGTCTAATTGAGCATATGACGGAAGAGAAATATATCTCCACGCTGTACATTTACCAGGTAAAGTACCTGCCTAATATCATATTTTTTCCTGTTATTACTCAGGTGTTTTTCATGTAATGCAATGTCATCGAACGCTGTATACTGATCTGTAGTAATTATGTAGTAGATCACATAAACACCATCAACGACAACTAGGCGACAGGGGGAGACGCTCAACTGTCAAAAACTGGACTGAAAGCGATTACGACAATATCAATACTATCATAATTCCTTGAACAAGGTCACTGTGTTATGTCGATGTATATATATATATATATATACTTCATTAAGTTATGACTCAAATCCATGCATTTTTATTTATTGAAATGAACACTTCAGAAAATTCGTCTTCAGACATGTGATTGAAAGTTACGAAGTAGTTTTTCATTATTTATTTAGGTTGAGTATACATGAAGCTGAATTTCCAGACTAAGTTCTTACATGAAAAGATAACGTATGTACTTAGGCAGTCATTGTGAGGATACGTTTGTATAAAGTCATTTCAATTATAAAGGTAATACTGTCGGTGTGCATGAGTTCACACAACCAAGGTAAAGAAAAGACAGAGTAAATTAAAAATTTAGCGGATTAAGCTTACCGTTAAGTCACAATGTAAATAAACACTGTCCCATTATTGACGTGACGAGGAATATAATAGTATGTCAGTTAAATCTACTCTACATTTGTTGTTACTATGTATACAAGTAGCACGCGGAGAGGTAGTAACACCTTTACAATCGTATACCTGATCGGGTTGTCGTCTTCTGTGTGTATACAGAGAGGATCGATCCGATTGGTCACTTAGAAAATGGGCGGAGCTAAATGACCATTGTTGGAGATTTTTACTACTACACACGATTAAACACACATTTTGGTGAATTTAAACAGGATAAAGGGTACTCTGTCAACGGGATTATTTATATTTTCACTTGTCTTCATACAGCGCTGTAAAGTTTGACTTGTCGACCAAAGGATTAGCTCGGCAGTGGGTTTGTTAACAGGAGACGATGAGACATGATGCTATTTTGAGTTAGTGCATTGCTGCATATACCTGGATCACATTGACTGGTAGAAAGACACAGGTAGACCAGGTGTGTTGAAACGTTGCGTACCTCTCATTACCATATCGATTTAATTAGTGATCTACTGGATACAGGGGTACTGTTTGTCGTAGGCTCAATGTTCTGTAAACTTCTGTAAATGGAATTGCATGATGGCCGAGCGATCACCATCTTTGTTTATTGTAGTGTGTTGTATGTGGGTTGTCGTTAATAGTACGACCATTAAAATACAATACAGCACAATTGAGGAGAGTGGCAGTGATGACGTCATCGGCAATACTGCTGTTGATGCTGGACTAGCCGATATGGTAGAAAATGCCGAAGAGTTACAAGCATTGAGGTATAGTTTGCTCAAAAATGGAAATCCGGACGCATCTAGATTTTACGTTGATGAAAACACTGGAGATCTTCTAACGTCTGAATCTTTAGACCGAGACGTCATTTGTGCGTTTGTTCCTGTTGGTTCTGACTGCTATCTTACAATGTTCGTCATTGCACAATCATCAACCGGAAGCTTTTTCAAGATCGAAGTTCAAATATTAGTTATTGATATTAACGATAACACGCCAACATTTGAAAAAGACGTGGATAGTCTTGCCGTACCGGAAGGGACCGAATTGGGAACGTCGTTCGCGCTGGATGGTGCGCAGGATCCGGATAATGGGATTTACTCGGTACAGTCATACAGAGTTAATTCAAATGACATACCTTTTGTTGCAGAAGCTGACAAATTTGCTGATGGACAGTCCATGTTGAAGTTGATTGTAAATGGTACCCTAGACAGAGAACAAAAGGCTTCCTATATGCTCCACATATTGGCGTATGATGGAGGTCAACCACCAAACATTGGATCCCTTATGGTCAACATCACCGTCACGGATGTCAATGAATTCCCGCCAAAATTCACACAATCTGTGTACAACGTCACCATCTTCGAAGACCATGACGTAAATGGTAGCATAACAACGGCCAAGGCCATTGATCCGGACGGAGGTATCAACGGGGAAGTACTTTACTCACTCAGCCCTTTGCAGTCTGCAACAGTCCTAGAGAGGTTCCGAATAGACTCCACTACTGGGGAGATAACTTTACGTACCTCCTTAATGGAGGATAGTAATGAGGAATATCGAATGATTATAGAAGCTTATGATAAGGCAAAACAACCAATGATGTCACAGGCTCAAGTTTTCATCAAGGTCATTGACAATCATAACAACGTTCCGACAATCAGGGTTGACCTTTTGTCAAATACGAACTATGCCGAGATCTCGGAACACGCGAGTCAAGGGGCGGCGGTAGCGCATGTTGCTGTGACTGACAAAGACACCGGAGCCAACGGTCTGGTGGTCTGTAACGTCTTGAACGACAACTTCCGGATACAGAAATACGAGGACATGGAATATAAGATAGTTGTGTATACGTCATTAAATCGTGAGGTGACTGAAGAATATAACGTCACGGTAAAATGTGATGATGCTGGAACTCCACCAAAGCACGTGACGTCATCGTTTAAGGTGCTTGTACTGGACGAAAACGATAACGCGCCAAGATTCACACAGCAGAACTACTATGCCCATATAAAGGAAAACAACGATATTGGTAAAGAGGCAATTACAGTGTCGGCAACAGATATCGATAAAGGTACCAACGCTCTGATGACGTATGCCTTGACCCCTACGGACGATCAGAGATTCAAAATACAGCCAGAAACAGGTCAGGTATCGGTAAACATTCGCCTAAATAGAGAGGTACAGGGGCAATATAGCTTCCAGGTAATGGCCGTAGATATGGGAACTCCCTCTCTAACCGGTACAGCAGTGGTATATATTATCGTCGAGGACGAAAACGATAACTCGCCCACATTTGGTGAGAACCATTTCCACTTCTACGTACAGGAAAATCTCGCGCCGAACACGAGTATTGGCATTGTAAGTGCGTACGATGTTGACCTTGCTGAGAACGGCGAAATTGATTACTCATTATCATCACTAAAGGAAGCGCCGATGCCATTTTGGCTCATGGAGAACGGAAGTATTATGACGTCATCAGTTCTCGACCGTGAGATAGTGGAACGGTATGACCTTAAGATGACAGCAGTGGACCGAGGTGACCCTCCTCGAGAGGGGTCAGCAGTCATCACAGTCCACGTGATTGATGATAACGACAATGGACCCATCATCACGTTCCCATCGGAGACCAACAGTTCCGTCTCCATCCCGTACGAAACACCACAAAATCGGGTCATAAGTACGATAAACGCTTACGATCAAGATTCTGGACTAAATGCAAAGCTATCGTTTTTCACCACAGATTTCAACATATCGGATTATTTTTTATTAAACAGTTTTTCTGGAGACATTTATCTTATAAAACAACTTTCTTCATCAGATATCGGAACTTACTCCTTTGAGGTACTCGTGCAAGACGGGGGCATGTTTCCGCTCTACGCCACTCGGACAATGACCATAGCCATTACGGACAGTTTGACCAGTGAAAGTTTCCCTAAATATGTCACGATAGCGATCTGTATATCCGTGATTACCATATTTCTGGCAGTGCTTTTATTTTTTGCCATATACCTTGTGAGGCGTTACGACCTGAGAAAACCAGACAGTTTTAACAAACACGTTGATGAGAGTTTCTCCGACAAAACAACTCCAGACGAAATTGAGGCCGGATTTGGGGACTTAACCGTTGACCGGAACAGCAATATATACAGCCCACAGACGTTCAGTGTGATCGGTATCCCCAAAAGGCCCCAAATCATCGATCGATCAATATCGTTACAGGTGAGTACATGTGACATCTTCACCGGAGTATCTTCCCACCCTGCCACCGGGGACCGAACATTGTCTACTTGTTCTGGTACGGTGGTAAGGTCAGAGGAACTCGGGAGTACCTTACTAATATTTTTCGGTTGTCCCACTACACTCTTTTCCAGAACAGTCTCACACTGGATGTAAAGACGTTCTAGTTTCTAATTTCAGATATTAGTGACACAATCGTTTCTGTTTAACTTCGCTATAAAGTCTTTCCGTCATCACTTTATATAACCGCGGTATAATGACAATAATCTAACCTCTATTTACTGTATTTCATATAATTTTCTTTTTTTTTGTGAATCCCTCTGCTTGTCCCTCGATATATCGCCAAACCCCCGTGTAATGCTGATATTCTGCTTTGTAATTATGTCAGTATACCGAATATTAGCAAATGTAAAAAATAAACAGGTTAACGAAAATAAACAGCATGGTTAAGATACGTGTAGTATTTATGTAATTCATGAAGGACATTTCATGTAATAACCTTTGAAATTCTTGGAACAACCGAACAGTATAACAGTTTTAGTAATCTGCCGGATCCTGTCACGGATTTGCATATTTTTAAAAGTGATATCGAACATTACCAATCTATTTTCTTCTCTTTCCTTCCCTCTTCCTTCTTCATACTCCTTCCGCCTCATTTCCCTTTCTTTTCTCTCCCCTCCTCCTCCCCCCGGCACCCATCTTCGTTCTCCATCTGCTTCTCTATAATTCCCCCGAACCCCGTTAGTTTTAGATATGGTGATTATACCGGGTGACTGCCCTTTTATGGAGAGGATGCCGGTAATTGAAGTGTAATTCCTTGATGAAAGGTAAAAGACACGGGATTGATAATCTATCGATTTTAAGTAATGAAGTTCTAAGTCTCATTCAATGGTTAATCGATCTCAGCTGGGTCGCATACCCCCTTAAGTCTAGTTAGTTTTACACCACAATATTTTTTTTCACTTCATTAAAAGTTTAATTCACAACTTTCATGCTAGTATAATAAGACCTTCCGTGGTATAAATGAACGGTTCCTTGGGAAATTGTAATATAACGACCGAGATTAACAAACACAGTTCTGCTTGTATCACAACTCATACAGTACATTGTCTTTCAGCTCTTTAAGTATCATATATATGCAATGTATAGAAATAGGGATGTCTGTTTAAATTATTTTTTTCAGTAAGAACACAAAGTTATTATTTACAATTTAGAGATAAAATTATACAATATTAGGGATAGAAAATAGCAACAGCAAACAATCATAAAAATAAATAAGAAAAGAACATAAAAAATAAAAACACAAAAGCCAAAAGCAAATTTCAATACAAATTTAGATAGTATAGAGCAAGGTATTGAATTAAACTGCATCATACAACACTGTCAGTGATGCTACATCATACTGTTTTTTGTCCCACTAGGACTCGTCAGTGATGCTATATCAAACAGTTTTTCGTCTAGGAATCGTCAGTGATGCTCTATCAAAAAGTTTTTCGTCTAGGACTCGTCAGTGATGCTATATCATACAGTTTTTCGTCACTCTAGGACTCGTCAGTGATGCTATATCATACAGTTTTTCGTCCCTCTAGGACTCGTCAGTGATGCTATATCATACAGTTTTTCGTCTAGGACTCGTCAGTGATGGTATATCATAGTTTTTCGTCCCTCTAGGACTCGTCAGTGATGCTAAGGGCTTACATTATGTAAAATCTTCGACAGGAAATAAAATATATGTGAGTGTTTAGGACTGTACAAGTGAAAACATGCTTACAGTTTAAACGAGGGGCCTGATAATAAAGAAATAAAAACAATGGGTAATTGTGTCGTAATTATAAACACCGATATATATACAACGGGAAAATGAAACGAGACATTAGTTTCAGAGCTTTCAGTTATGCAGCCATAATACGCTTAATAGATATTGTCATTCACAATACTAGATATCTAATAACGTTCGGTTTAAACGTATAAAAAATTTAAACGTTTTATTTTGGACTAGCTACTCACTCTCCATAATTGAGTTTTAGTTGTCATAAAATTGCTCTCAGCCCGGCAAGTCATTCTTTATTTCCTACCGGGTGTAGAATATATACATTGTATTATAGGAAATTTTTACCATGATATGACAGATACAAAAACTCAAGGCTGTTTGTATGTATATATTGCGGAAATTGAAATAAAACTAGTTAAATGCGTAATATTTTTTATACATTTCCCAAATGAAAAATAAACATCCTGAAACTTATCAAAATATATTGAAATTGATGTTTTGACATTTCCTCTTTGCGGCTGTTGAATAAAGGATATTATTGTCGTGTAAAATGTATAAAGTTGTTTTTAAAGTCAAAAATATCGACATACAATAGCAGCGTCTAACAGCTTTAGATCCCGTTGGAGAGTTTAAAGGAAAATATTGTTTAAAATTCTGAATTCTTAACAGAGATTACACCCCCGAGTCATCTTGCTGAATAAATGTTTGCTCGGCAGTTTGGTTGAATTGAAAATAAAAATCATGATTTTTAAAAGATTGTGTCTCGTTTACTCATGAAATATCAATTCTAAAACTGTTTATCAACAGTGTGTGTTGAAATCTATCCGCTATATTGTCTTTTTATTTATTTTTTTTTCATAATAAACTTATTTTGTATTTTACTGTACATGGATACAGACTGAAAAAAAAATCATTTTGACACGTCTACGATCATTTGAGACCTTAGAGGGCTGTTACAAATGTACACAATTACTCTGCTCAGGTTCGTTTCGTTTCTTCTTTTCCTGTGGGAATTTCTATTTTTCAACTTACGTTCAAGTCGCCGAGATAGTTACTTTGAGCAATTTACAAATGCCATTATTTCATAATGTAATGTAATTTGGTGTGGGCTGTCAACTAAAATGTATGGGCCGTGTAATGTCTCTCGAGTTCTGCAGGCAGTGCATATTCCATTGCAGTCTGTACAGAGAAAAGTAGTCGGAGGGTTTGTTGTTTTCGATGAAGGGTGTCAAAAAAAGCTTAGATTTGTATTGCGATCGGTGACGATCGTGCTTAATTAAACTTTGGGGAGCCACATATACAGTTTTTAACACTGTAAATGTGTTTCAACGTTTCAAGGTAGTGTGTGCTTGTTGGCGATACCAGCTTTAGATGACGTATACAGGGAGTCCAAAGGGAGTCACTGCACATTCTATAATTGTCGCAAGGCTCTATGGTTCGCACCTGCCTGACCCGTTACCACCGTTCAGGTGTGTAATTTTAACAAATAATTGACTCCGTATCGAAAACAGTGTCTCTACGTACCGGGCTAATGTCAATGTATAATAGTACTCAACCCGAGACGAGTTAGACAAAACATCTGAAAGGGCCATCAGCTGAATCAGATTTTCACATCAAATTAAAATACCAATTTCTCTTTTACTTTTATGTGTAAAGCTTAAGTGAATCACAAAGTCGATATCTGCTTATGATCCATGCATTTTCACGGTGAAATTTCACAGATCTGTATGAAAATTCACCAGATCATCTTCATCATAACGACTATCCTCAAGCTGATCAGACTTAAATTACTTCGTGTCGCCGAAAACATTTCCATATGAATGTACAGATAACACATCTACACCATGTCCACGCGCCTGTTAGATCTGTATCTCCGGTTTTAATTTTACTTTTTAAACCGGAAGAAAATGTCACGAACTTTTTGATTTTCGCCCATTGTTGATTTGTTTGAAACTGGACCCATGCGTAATTAATAGCAGCCATATTGGTTTATTTTTGTCGACTCAACGGGTGTCTATCGTACATAAAATCACCAAAAAACCTTCTTGCATTAATCTTTTGACGTTTAGATTGCCGACTTCCATGCTCAGATGTTATCAGATGAGCTAAATTTCCCGTTCAGGGATATTTAATGATGACGTATCTATACATATAGGTGTGTTGGCAGTGAGTTGGGAACAAAAGACACTTGGGCAGGCCCGCTCTCCATTACTGGTCGGAGAAACTCAGCGATCCCGTTCTCTATTGTACAAAGCCAGTTAGACTGAAATATGATCACATCTGCAAAAAATATAATTTGAGAAACTTGTTTATAAACGGCTAAGTTTTTTTTCAACATGCATGAGTATTTAAACATGACTCGGCAAGGGATTTTTGTAAACATATTCAAAGCTTTATAAAACGGGAAGTGTTTAATTAAAATTTAAAAACAGCTTTGATTTGGTTATTTTTGATAACAATGTTTGATATTTGTAATGGAAAATCTGCCGTCTTGAAGTAAAATAAAATGATTTAGTTGTAAATTGATATTCTAATATACATAAATCATTGTCCCGAGTTTTGATATTCAAATGAAGTTATGAATTCTAATCGTTAATGATTTTTCTTTTATCAAGCTATTTTAAGATGAAAGGATAGGTTTAATAATTACCAATTCTGATAACTAACGATGTAAATCAGCACACCAACCTTGCATTTACAGGTAGCTGACAGAGTATGTCAGTAATGTATACAGTAATTATTGATAAAATATCCACAGATTTAGAAATCTGATTTGTGTAATTATGACCCGTTCACGAAACTCATGTTTGATTCTTAAATAATACAGATTGTATGTTTTTGACATGGTTTTATTCCGTGTGGTATGACCATTTAAACCGGTACACGTTTCTAGGTTTGGTTCCAACATTAACCAGTTCAGTGACAAGCTATGTGTTCATTTGAGAATATTTACACAGAACCTACATTGTAGGCAACTGACACTTTATGTTCTGTGAAACTAGAAACACCCGGTACATATCGATAACGAGGTTATTCAGGGTGGGCTGTTCTCGTGTGCACTTTTTAGAAGCGGTAAGCAAGTGCTTGTTTATGTGTAGAATTTTGATTAAGAAAAAGATTTTACATGCGTGGTTTTGTGTATGTGCCGAGAGAAAGGAGTTTTTTTCATGCTAACACACATGTTTTTATTGAAACAGACAGATGTCGATCGTCACGATATCACTTCCAGGCGATCAATTATTAATGTTAAGCACACAGATATTAATTTAACATGCATTGCCCATGGTTTTGACGAGCACGTGATATCTTATGAAAATAGGACACGAACACATTTCTGACAGGGATTTATTTTCATGCCGTTCTGTTGTAAACACTTAAGAGTTGATAACGAGTAGCATGAATCTGAATTTTCTATTCTGTTGTTACTTCAAAATAGATAAATTGTTATGAATTACAAGGCATTTTAGGCCTCTCACCAGTGTTACAGTAAACCGCATCCTGTATTCACATATTTTTGAAATTTACACGCTCTGTTTCAGATCTTCGAAACTTATTTCATCGTAGGAAATCATATTTAATTATTCAAATTGACAGATTGAATAGGGGTTGATTATCAAGGCATGACCGGAAACCGGAAATTTGTTTTAGATGAACGATAACTCCTGCCTATTTTCATCTTGTTTACATTATGACTGAATGGGCGTCATCCATAAAGCATATAATGTAATTTGTCCGGTTCACCGATTCCAAGATAATCAATTGAAAATCACGCTATCTCTTCTAATTGTATAATTCCGTGCTTCCATTCCATTACCGAATTCTTGTATTTTTCCCGATAGGTACCCATTGTCCCTGAATTGCCCAGTTCCGTCCACCCGAGTGACGATCCCGTATGGGCTCCCCCTGGTGGCGAAATTAATGACGACGAAAGACACCGGAACCAGTTGATAAACCTACAGTACCAACAATCACTTCTGCGGATAAAAAGCTGCAAACGGTCCAATTCAAGCTTGGTAAGTCAACTGTTAATTTTAATAACTAACCGAAAATCTTAACGAAAAAGAAAATAGAACTTACACGCTAGGTGAACTTTGAGTTTATCTCATTGATAATATTAACGATAATATTGTATTTAGAAAAGAACCCATTTATTTTCGTTGATATAAGCCAGACTTGGCTATCATCCTTGCGCTAGAGAACGAATTTGTTTACAATCTGATTAGCTAATCTAAAAGCAAACCTGTATGATCCATCACAATCCAATAATGTCAGTTTTTGACATAACACGAACTGTTTATTGATTGTATTTCTAAAGTAAAGCGTAAAAGTGACAGGCATTTATTAAATTTACGTTGAATTCACTTTTAAATTCGGTATAGAATTTCAAAAATGAGTCCTCACTTGTTGTAACAGGATGTACAATCGTCAACGGAAACGGTGACCTGATATTTCACTTGTCATTCGATTCTATGGTCATAACGGTACAATAACTCCGCAATACCCGGGGTACTTGTCAAATTTTTATCAAAGGCGAGAGTCATATACAGATTTGAGGGACAGGATACCGGCGAAAGTTCACCCGTAATGACAATTAAGGACAAGGGAATGATCCTTGTCTAGGACAGGGGGGCGAAGATAAAACATATTCTACCCTATAAGTTTTATACTAGTAATTCATAATGATATTATTTCGACAAAGACACAAAATAAACAAGAAGATTAATGCGATTTAAACGACCTTATTCTGGCAATTGATCAAAATTAAAAACGAGTCGAGGCATTTCAAATCTCTTGTGTACATGTAGTATAAATTGTATTGACTATTTTGACGCATGGTTCATTACGCTGGACGACGAAGACTTACAATAAGAACATTGGTAAAGATATCAACATTTCAAAATCCATTTATATCTGCCGTTTTGACATCAAATGGTAATGATAAATAGAACCCGAGGTATCAATAATTAATTCTGAACTATAAACAAATCCTACATAAACAAACAAACACAATTTAAAGTAGTAAACAACTGTATCATAAACGACGAACAATTTCTCACCTATAATAATTTTTTTTTAAATATGTTTATAACTTTCTGAAACAGAAACCTAAATTCCTCGTTTGTCGTTTAAATAAGGTTGTATATAATGAAGCGTGATTTAACACCCTTTTACAAGCTACCCTTCAGCCAATACTTTAATCTAAATTCATTACGTTCGTTTCCTTTCGTATAAAAATGAGCAACAATGTACAAAAGCTGTTTCTTATCTTCAGTTAAACATTAACAGGAAAATGTAGCAGTGTTCACCGAGGAGCAATATTTCAGGCGTAAAAACATGTTGGATGTTTTTTTTATTTTGCCAAGGTCACTGACAAACTGTATAACACTGAGTTTTATTTTCCTGGCAGATATGTCGTTTAATCAAGGTCGTTTTTGTCCTTGAAATGAAATTTTGTTGTAAACAAAATCGCAATTGCTTCCAGCAGCAATATATGGGACTAAATATTTCAAGCGGGTTACACAGCTCTATCCGTTCTTAAACAAATGTCCGCCGACAGTTGTTCCTAGTTTTGTTGGCAGATGATCCGTCTCTGCGTCAAATTGAGAAAATGCAGATAACCAAATAAGTGCGTGCAGGTGAAACACCAACAAAATCCTGATTTATAGTTCGGAACTTATTTTGACTTATTATTGGCTTTAGCCACCACTTAAAGCTTTCCAATACTATCATCCTTACCGTTCATTTCGAATTTCCAGAGAAAAGGTCTGGAACTTTCTCATATATACATATCGGAAGTGATCGATAGCATCGCGCGTGCGCATGTGATTTTAAAAAATATGTCCGTAGATTGTTTGTATGCTTGTGAACTACCAAGGACATAATTGCGGCGGGGTCTCCTTGTAGTAGCTGGTGGTTACATCACAGAACAATGTACGGGAGGTCCGTCGCATGTTATCAAGAGCAATTAGGATCTTATCCATGGACATAACCAGTCAGCACAGACCGGGAACCTCTTAGCTCCTTTAGAAACACAAACTGACACTAATACCGGGACCGTCAAACTGTGCACTTCCGGTTTTCACCTGAGTTTGTGTATGCCAACAGATTTAACCATGACAGTCCCCTTATCTCTTACAAAAATACGCTTTCCATTGTCTGTCTTTGGCTAGATAGTGTTTAAATATGTATATATTGTCGCTGCGTAATTAGAATTGATGAAGTATTTTTGATATCTTAACACCAGGGGGACAGGAACAGGGATTAGGGGCTGTTAACTTTTCCAGTAGGATATGAAAATCGCGTCAAAATATATCCCCAGGAAAATGCCGAACCGATGTACCTTTGACGTTCTTTAATCAATTTATAGACATCTGAGAACCACGGTAAATACATATCAAATAATAACTTTATAATAAATACAACATATGTACGCACTTGTTCGGTTCTGGTATCTGATTTTCTCATGATTGTGTACAATAAACATCCTACTTGCATATATCTCACGCCTCGCATGGCTAGCGGTGCGTACGACCCTTATTAAATCAATAAATCGCATTGAGTTTGAATTTTCTCCAACAATTAGGTAGAATAATGTGAATTCAATTATGGATAAATACTTAATGTGACTTTAATTGGACAATGACCCCCAGGTCCCTTCCATAAACTATCTCAGACCATTGGTTTTGACAGAAAGAACATGTAGTGTTTTTATTCAAATGAGTTTATGACTTGAGGACACGCATGCGTAGATCTATGATACATCAAAGAAAGCACGTGTATTATTGGATGTGAGAACCGTGACGTTTTATATGTTTGTCAATATATACTTACTGTAATTATACTGTATTTTTTTATTTTCTTTCAGACGATTTGACAAATCATTATGGAGCGGGAGCGGAGGAAATGTAATTGGTTAATTTTATGATATATGAAATGAAAGATTCCATTTGAGAAGTTTTTTTATCGTCTTCATGATAATCACCGTCCATAAACTGATAGCGCGAATGATTCTGAACTCTTTTGTAGTGAAGGAGAACAAATTATCACGTCTTTAATGATCTGTCCATTAGTTAATTTAGAAAAAAAAAGATATATATAAGTACAATTTAATTTTGGCTTGTATGGGCCCTGTAAGTAGATTAGAAATAATGTTGTATAAAAAATGACTGATACGATAGTGGTCAACACTGACCAGTGGCGACGCTCAATGAGGGTCAAAACACCTAGAGTTCAGACCAACATCTATTGACACTTGGACTCGTCAAGAACTCCAGAATGTACATCGATAATAATTAGCCGGTCACTTCTAAGTCCTCTCAGCTGTGACATTCTTGGAACAAGACTGACCATTGGGCCGCGAATACCGCCAAAACCTGTCCAAAGTCACGACAGCCATCCAAGTTTAACGAGTCCCGACGATGTAAGTAATAAAAATAGATAGTGTTAGTTTACAATGTGTATCTGTGATCAGATTCACTAATCATTTGGTAAATTCACTGTGTTATATTGAGGCAATAGGCTCTTTTTTTTATCTTATTTATTATAATCATTTTCTTTCTTTCTTTCTTTCTTTCTTTTTTTTTGCGAATGTTTTCGTGTTTAAGATAAGCCTCGGGCGATTGAACTAATCGAAATTGATATGAAAAACACAAAGGGTGAATGACCTCACCTCCCTTCCCGGCTTCGCTTCCCTTACTTCAATCCCCTCCCTCTATCTCTAATACATAGCAACACGCGTTTCTCCTAATTGATCTCCAATGTCCCGTACCTAAAAACATACGTCAATTTGTAACATTTCAAAATGACCATAAAATCGTCCCAATGTCCCGGTAATTATACACTGACCAGTATATATATTTGTTAATTGCCAATTACCTGGTAGCACAGGTACGTTAATTACTAATTACTGGCCACAGTGTGGCGTAGGTCAACTATTTGTACTGAAAGTGACGTCTGCACGCCGTCCATTAACTGCTGGCACGTACATGGCCGTTTTGTAGATATGGACTCTCCTGGACTTAACGATAATTAACTATGAAAGTGCCCTACCTCTAAATGTCCGTTCTTATCACAGCGTCCGTAAAAACCCTTATTACAAACAAGGGCTCTCGAACTGATAACGCATCCATGTTAATCACTTGGTTTCCATCAAAAATCGAGGCCAATGTAAAGCTTTGTTAGCATAGTAATTCTCACAGGTATGTCAATTCACTTTTTCTGGAAAAATTAATAACCCGTTGTCGTAAAAATAATTATCAATTGATGTGTATGATTATGATATGTAATTAGGATGTTTTTTCCGTATATCTATCTACATGTACATTTCGGAAGAACATCGGAAATGCATTTTTTGACTGGAAAGCATCTTGACGACAATTGACAGCTGACGGAGGTCGAAGCTGAGAATCCTTATGTCATGACGGAGACGTGCAGACGTTGTAGGGGGTCGTGGGCCGAATTAAATCTGATTAACTTACTTGTTTGGCGTCAGTGAAACTCAGGTGATAATGGCAAACATCATGAGAGGATGCTACCAAATCCAAATGGTGTCCCGGGAGGGGGAGACAACTCGACAACCAAATTGATACTATTTTCGGAATACGTTTTTAGATCGCAGAAGATCGTGGTCTTATAAAATTATCAGTTACTTTTCAGACTTAATTGTTAAATTGTAGATAATAAAACTTTTAAAAATCTCGATTAATAAATGTGATAATAAGAAATTTATCTTTAATAGAATTGTCACTTAACTGGTATGCTGGTCTCTGTAACGCCCGTATCGTCAATATTGTGTTAATGACTGTATTGTGACGTCATAAACAATCATAAGAATTATCGCTTATTACGTTTATTAGCTTGTTGGGTTTATTAGTTTGTGGCCAGGTCTCCTTGAATTAGCTGGTGATTACGTCATTGAAAAACATACTGGAGGCACGTCGCATGTCTTCCAGAGCAATGACGGTTAGGTGACACAACCATGTAAGCGCAGGCTTGTAACACAAACAGCTACTTGTAGGGAGCATCGAACCACGCACCTCGGATCTTCACCCAAAATGACGTGGACCAACTCTCTAAACCAGCCCTTAAATATCGTAAAAAAATGACGTGATCAGTTTAATTTCCATTCATCGTTTTCTCCCTTGTCATATCAGATCTAATTTTTTACCTCATTCTTAGTCGTTTCGGTAATCGTATGTACTGTATGCCAATGTATACCAATTCACGAACGAAACATCACAATTCTATATTTTGACACAATACTTAAAAACTGTTTTTATTTCTGATTTCAGATTTCCATTGCGCATGCGCGTCGACACGAAGTCTGTCACAGTTAGTGTAAGACGAGGCATTGTCTGTTGAACGTGTCCGGACAGGTGGACAACCTCCGGATACTTGGAACTAAATGGTGCTCCGGACACCTCATTATTTCATACATGGATCTTTCATTTTAGACGAATGTTCATTACTCTTTACACGTGATTCCGGACAACTGTTACGTGAGCGCAAGCATTACTGGACATTGGTCATCCATTACCGTAACAGCATGCATTGTATCTCCTCCTTCAGATATTCGGATGAAAGTGACCGGTTGTGTTAGATCATTAGGAAACACTTCACCAGTCATGTAACCTATGTTTAAAGCATTAATAACCTATTCGCGTGCCTGGCGGATACTCACGACGTCATTACTTACCTGTACAGGTATCTAATTAACTACATCGATCTCAAGTGTGCCTCTTACCTGGGCTTTGTCTCTACCTGTTGAAACGTGCCAAATAATACTCATTTATTTTTCTAATGTTATAATACTCAGTTATCGTTAATCAAAATAAAATGTTTATGAGAACTTAAAGAAGTGTGTTTGTTTGCTTTTCTCAAATGTTCAGGTCTTCGACAAAGGTGTACAGTTCCTATATTCTGTTTTTAATTATTTCGTGTCGAGTGTCTAACATGTAGGTACTCGCCAAGGGTGTTCTCTTTCCTCATTATATTGTTTGCTGATACAGTGTACTGTTTCAAATCATAAATTTTAAATTACTATTCTAAAGCGAGGAGTTTGTGTTTTTTGACTGTGTTGTTTCAATATTAGGTTACGTTTGTCTATAACCGATTGAATTGGATATTTAAGTGACGGGGTGTACCTAATGCGTTTCTAAGATATCATATTTACCTTAATCAAATTCACATCAAAATTCAACACTCCTGTTACCGATAAATCGACTATTTCAGCAACAAAATTCACTTATCTGAAATTGCGTAACTCGATAAAACAATGTAAATAGTTTTAGATATAATATTATATAGAAGATAATTCAATTTTCCAATTATCCGACGAACTTGAGAATGATTTTAGCCCGATATGCCCATAAATTGCAGCTTATATACACTCTGACACGCCAAACTGTCTTGCATAATACCTGTTAAAAGACATCTTGTGTAAAGTAAACACCTGGAGGTCTGGTCGTTTACATAAGCACTATAAGATCGAATTTAGAGATAACGGATTTTACACATATCGCTGTGTAGTTGTCAAACAAAGAGACATGCTTCGTACAGGACCATGAATTCAACTTAGAAATTAACACCTATAATTTAGAACTGATTCAAAATACTATATACGTGGGTTCAAATTATGAGAATTCTCCGCGTTTGAAATTGTTGGTTATGTGTTGGTTTAAATTCAGCGTCTTCACCGTCATAATGAAATTAGACTTGTGATTTTCGGCAAGGCTTTCTCAGCTCGAATTAAAGGGTATGAGGACTCTCACATAGATGTAAAGATTATGTAAAACATCACGAATGATTGCTACTTGATATTGTTGCTGTTTTCTGTGTTGTGAAGGTATAATATATTGATATTATAGGAATCAAAATCTTTTCGGATAAAATTTTCTCGCTCTTCTCTCTTTCACTTTTTTTTTAAATAAGAACTTTGAGAAATTTTAGGTACATTAAAGGAAAATCGAAAGATTCCGTAGTTTTTTTAAAATTGTTACGATTATTGTCTTCTTCACAGTTTTGTTAAATGCATCGGAGACGATGTGAGACAAAATTGTTACTACTTAAAAAAAAGTATAAAACCTTGTCAGTCTGACAAAATAATCCTAACATAATTTTCATTCTATAGTTCTGAATAACCGAAAACTAGCAAGAAAAATTCATCTTATCAAACAGATTATCAATAAATAAAAGAAATAGCATAGATTTAAAAAATCAATCAATAGGAATATTTTTTAAAATTTAATGGTTTTCAAGCTAACCCTACTTTGAAAGCCGTGTTGTGTTACACATGTACCAATACTCGTGGTTTGATAAATGTAAATATATACAAAATGCATGACACGGGTGAATTTTTAATATCATTATGCAAACGAGAGGTTGGAAATGGAGTACGTTGATTATATTACCGGAAACAAAGACTATTACCAAAACGAGTCTCGTATCGTTAATGCTTGTTTTACAGGTTCGTGTTCCAATTTGTTTGGCAGCAGAATCGAACAATTTATCAAATAGGATACGACAAATATGTCGCATTGTTAAATTTCTGTCCATACATGGCAAGCTTCTGCATTCGCCCTACTAAAGTACTTTAATTTAAAGGTCGATAATCTATTTTTACCAAAGATTTCAATCATAAAACGGAATAGAGGTTTCCCAACAAATCTGGGTTTCACGATGTGAATTTTTCATGATAACAGGTATTACAACATTGACAAAGGCATGGAATTTTTTTAATCATCATCATCGTCGTCGTCGACGTCGTCCAACATTCATATAAGATGTATATCACCGTGATCGCCTTCCAGTAATTGACATTAAGCACATATATACGGATAGATATAACACTGTACTAATTCAGGATTCTATTAGAGG